CCCCAAAACCCCAAAACCCCAAAACCCCAAAACCCCATAAGGCTAATTTTCTTTAAAATAGAAATTTGAATTTTAAATTTCAAAAATAAATGTCAATCACTTAAAGAAATCCATCTGAAATAGACAAACAGAAAAATAAGAATTCAACATAGCACTTGGAAAAAATACTACTTAGCACCTCAAGTTCTAGTTCATAAAGAAAATTAGTTTCTTCAGATTTAAATAAGATTATCTTGACAACCTAAGATATGAATAGTAATGATGGTGGAACTTAGAGAACTGCTCAAAATACTTAATTCAATAATACTGGAAGGAATTGGAGGAAACTAATTACTCCAGCCCAGGACTCATTAAATAAGTTTTAATAGTAGTAATAAGATTACTCAGGTTATAATCCAGGATCAAGAGTTAATACTTAAAACGACAAATAGAACGGTGCTACTACAAATTCATAGAATACTTCAATGGATACTAGCAACCTTTCTTTGAGTGTTAAATAATTCACACCATCTTAAGACGTGAAACAACTTAAGATGACTCTTAAAGGTGGAATATCAAATACCACAGAATCAAATCACAAGCTGAGCATGAATTCTGAAATAAATAACTTTGGCAATTAAAAACTATCCCATTTCTCCAATAATAATCATCTTGAAACTATACATGATGAGGAGTCAAAGAATATAAAGTCTAGTTTAATGTACAATGATAATTTTGGTGCTTCTACTAGTCAAATGAAATCTATAATGAAGAGTTACAGTAATGCAAACTTTGAGTTTTTTGAAAATCTTTACAAAAAGCATTTCGCTCATGCAAAAGACAAGTCCTAAATAAGTTCAAAACCACCTACTAGTAGCCAATTAAATTTTGATAAATCTGAAAAAGACTTATTTAATCTAACAAGTAAGACTAATACTTAGCTTGGAATTAGCTAGTTCAAGAATTCTTAATTGAATTCAATCGAATCATTTGGGAAATCACAGGATAAGAAAAGTATTTTAAGAGCATCATCATTAAATGATAAGAGATAGAATTAAAGAGATACCATTAAAAGTACGATGTCTATTAACTTTAAGAATTCTCTATATAAAAAAATTAATCCTTCAACAGCTCTTCTTGATGACAATAGTTTAAGTAAGATTGATTCTAAAAGTAAGATTCTCCAAGATAGAAGTCTCCAAAGAAAAGTAATGCAATCATTTAACTTAGATTCTTCTGAGGAATCATCTGATCAAGAGGAAATTAAATAAAATAAGGATTCTGATAGATAACCAATAAACCTAAAAAACCACATTTAAAATAATAAAATATAGGTATTGGGAGATGCTATTAACAATAAAAAGATGAGAAGAGATCATTAAGTATCAAAAGATAGTTTAGAGGATGCTATATTCAAAAGTGATTTTAATGTCTTAAGTAGAAGAGATCTAAGCGCTAGGCAAGATGATAATAATATATTCAGTGATAATCCGTCTTAGATAATGGAGACTAGCAATGAAAGAAGGAATAAATTTCATAGAGGCAATTTTAATGCAGATTAAGATAAAAGCTGGAGTAGAAATAGAAATGAAATTCCGAATCAGTGTGATGATTCCTCAAGCTCCTTGAATTTATTTCATAAATTGTTAAGCTCAAATCATAACAAAAAGATGCCAAAGATTACATCTGGTCAAAGCTCAGTCCTTTTAAGCAACCCAGATTTTAATCTAATGAGTCATTATAATAATGGCGATACTCAAATTATTTTTGAATAACCAACAAAAGAAGATGCTCTTGAAGACACATACAAGTCAGCCTAGCCATTCAATAATAACAAGCAAGATTTCCTTGGGTTAAAGGCAGAAGATTTAACTACTATCGTTGAAAATAATAACTAACCGAGCTAGAATGAATCATCTTAAATGTCTTAATCAAATGAAATTTTAAACACTTACAAGCAGAATATAATGATGGCAAGAACTAACATTAGAAATGAAGAACCTCATAATAATCATAGAAAGAATTTTAATAGCCATAAGAATTCAATTAACATTTAATAGCCTCTCTAAGATAAATATATGCATCAGTAATAATCAGCGAATCCTGATAGGTAGAGGCATGTTATAGGCTAGAGCGTTCGAAATTCAAATGTGAAGGATATGAATATGAATGTTGATTAGAAATCAGATTTTACTTTTATACTATCTAACCCTACAGACTTCTGCGAATGCTGTGCACCTGAGGTCATAAATTAGAATAACTCTTTTGTCACCCAAAAATTTTAAAAGATCCCCTCAACAGCTTAAAATAGTGAATTAAAATAACAGAATTAAGTATTGTCATCCTACAGAAAAGGAGCGTTTTAAACAATAACATAACCACCTAGGCTTTAAGATTTTGGTGCTTCTCCAATATATTCAGAAAATGGAGGACTACCTGGAAGCCAATTTTATTTAAACTAATAAGTATGCTAGAACTGTGGTGGTTGCAAGGGAAACGCTAAGAAGATGGGGAATACACAGCATAGATTGAGTTATAATTAAATGCACAATTAAAGTATAAAAGAGGAAGAGAGCTAAGATGCAGAGGATGAATACTACCAAAACTAAAACTATATTGACTCTTAGATTGAGGAAAATTCTAGCTAAAATATACAGGCAAACTATCATCCCAATGATAGAGTTTTTGAGTATCAATAGCAGAATATTCAAAATAATAACCTAGAAAATCAGATTGTCAGTGGTGAAATATCCCTTGAAGATGGAAACCTTAATAAAATGGTATTAACAAAACTAAGTCCTAAAGAAGAGGAATTAAGGAGACTTTAGACTATTATATCTTTTTCACAAGAATATATGAGCAAGATACTTTAAGATAACAGTGTATCTATTAATCTTAAAAGTCAACTAGCATAAATAATGGGAGCCATATCTAGTGTTTACCACCCAACTCCTTTAAATAATCATATTGCTTCAAATCTAACTCATATTCAATCAAACTACAATAATAATCATCACATGGTTTCTTAGCAAACCACTCTTTAGCCAACCAGTATATTCCTAGACAATAATATGACTATTAGTGAGCTTCACTAAATTTAAAGGCAAAATCAAAACAACTTAATGAAAAAACATAATAATCAGAAAAATAGAAATAATGAAATCATTCATGAAGAAGTTTCAACTTAGCAGGATAAGTCAGTAGACTCTGAAAGGTATATAAAGTAAAAGAAAGATAAAACAAAGCACAAAAAATAAGATTTAAATGTTCCTTAAAACCTCAAGAAGAAGTATCAAAATCTTAAAAGTTCCTTATTATCATCCTCTTGTGAAGATCCTTAATTCAATTGCATTAGAGAGGATACTATTCTATCTTATATAGACTAGGATGATGATGAAGACTTTTCAGACGATGATTCTCTTGAAAGATAAGATAAAAGAATAAGAATTGCAGCATTTAAGACTTTAAGATAAAGTGAATTCAATAAAAGCAAGTCATAATACCAGAACACAGCTAAAAAACTAAAGTAGTCAACTTAAGCTCATCATAAAGTGAATGAAATAAAGAAATCACTCAAGCAAACTAAGAAGAGTTTATTATCTACAAAACAATAGTTAAAGCGAGAAAGATTAGCCAATCAATAGTAAGAAGATAAAATGAAAAAACTTGAAGCCTAGATAGAGGCATTAACTGAAAGATGGAAAATGACTGAAGATAGCGTTAAAGCCAAAGAAAACATGAATTAGTTAATGCAGAGAATCAATAGTAGCACCACCACATCGACTAACTTGCCTAATAATTCAACTCATGTTGGAGCATCAGCATCTATATCCCTTTAATAAAACACAAGTATATCATAAAAGATGGCACACAACTCATCAAGTTCATTTATCAGAAGAGATCTCTCCCCAAACATCAACAATCAAGTTTCTTTAAATAATAACAATAGCCAGTCAACTAAAAATTTTGCAGGTGGTTCAGTATCTCATATTAATATTTCATAGAATCATAGCCATTTAGATTAGTCTAGCAAGCATTTATTGGAAATAAACGATAGGCTCACGAAATAAATCGAAGACAATTTATAGCTTTTCGAAAACTTGAACGAAGAACTAACAAATAAGGATAGAGCAATAGCTGAAAATTAGCAAAAGCTCTAGGATAAACAAAGAGAGATTGATTTATTAATGAAAAGACTTAATGAGATGAGTGAGAGCATGAAAACTCTCTAAGATATAACAAAAAGTACTTCTCAGATGAGTGAGCAAACAAAGACAAAGCATTAAGAAGAAATGGAGTAGATTAAAAGGAAGCAACAGGACTACAATTAGAAGTTGGATAGAATAAATTCAGTATTTTAGAATATTCCAAATACTCAATCAATAATTTCAAGCAATAACGATCTTAATATGTATTCGAAGTACCAAAGAAGATAGGTGCTTGGAGCAAGCAATATGCTGAATTGTATTCCTTTGACATCCCCAGATTCAAATGGCATTAATATGCCAACTAACTAATCTAACAACTCATCAAGGATATAAGATGAAGAGTTTAGCATAGGTTAGTTCAATGCTCCTAAATAAACTGAGAATGATATGTTGCCTCAGAAATTGAGTCAAATTAATAAATAACTAAAGAATGAAGGAAATAAAGAAAATTTAAGAAATAGAGAGGACGGAAATTCCCTTTTAAACTCAAATGTGTTGAATTCTCTTTATAACAATCTCAAAGAGTCAGTTAAAAATTATAACAATGTTCAAAATACTACTTAGAATCACACTAATAACTTCTTGAATAACACTACCGAATCTACAATGCTGAAGTATAGTCAGGATGCTACACATTCATTGATAAATACAATGAAAGTTTAAAATAATTGAATAAATTAATTTGGTTTATTAATAATTTCATAACTAAATTTAGATATCTGGGGTTTTGGGGTTTTGGGGTTTTGGGGTTTTGGGG